GGAGCCAGCGCAGCCGGAGCCAGCGCACCCGGAGCCAGCGCAGCCGGAGCCAGCGCACCCGGAGCCAGCGCACCCAGAGCCAGCGCACTCGGAGCTAGCGCATGTGTAGTGAGTCTAGCGATACCGAGTCGCCGCGAAGCGGCGACCGGGAGCGCTAGTCTATATATATAAAAACGTATGTCTGTTTGTCTGTCTGCTTGTCTGTTTGTCTGTATGTCCGGGGTACCCTATAGACTCGAAAACGGCCGAACCGATCGTCGTGAAAAAGGAGCGTGTTCTGTGGGATCCAGCGGTGGTTATAGGGGGGTCAGTTCTCCGATGCGATGAGTCCTTCTACCTTAAAAAAATTATTTGAGTGCTCCACCCACGAAAATACGAAAACTCGAAAAAAAATTGAAAAATCTGAAATTCGCAAAATTCACTAAGGCCTGAACCGATCGCCGCAAAAATTCAGGGGTGGGTTCCCGGGAGCTTCAGGAAGGTCATCTGAGGGTCGTCGTTCTCATGTTATGGGTCCTCCCCCCATAAAAAAATGATTTGAGTGGTCCTCATCAAGGGAAAGACGGGAATTCGATTTTCCGGAGGACATATATATCTAATAAAAGCGGGGGCACGGGGAGGCGGGGAAACGGGGAAGTGGGGAACAGGGAAAGCGGGGAACCGGGAAAGCGGGGAACCGGGAAAGCGGGGAACCGGGAAAGCGGGGAACCGGGAAAGCGGGGAAACGGGAAAGCAGGGAAACGGGAAAGCAGGGAAACGGGACGCTCACCAAGAGCACGCGCGACCAAAGCAAGCGCACCCGAAGCCAGCGCACTCGGAGCCAGCGCACTTGGAGCCAGCGCACTTGGAGCCAGCGCACTCGGAGCCAGCGCACTCGGAGCTAGCGCATGTGTAGTGAGTCTAGCGATACCGAGTCGCCGCGAAGCGGCGACCGGGAGCGCTAGTAATATATATATTTGTATGTATACGCTTTGCCCATACTTTAAATACTAGGCATGTCTCTCCGAACTTCTTGGGCTGCACTCACTGATCTCGTAAGAAATCTCCATCAAGCGGGAATCCAGAAGGAATTGGTGAATAGATTTAAGGTAGGTACATTCCGCATCGTTCAAGGAATCCAGAACGGTCTCGAAGCTTTCCAGAAGATTCAGATTGAACTTCAGCGCGAGTAAGTTCTGAACTCGGCTGGCTAGAGCAGACGTTCTATCGGTTTGGGTCGTCGCGGCCTGTGCGAACGCAGAATTTCTTGTGAAGCGGAAAATCGCGAGTTCGTATGTTCACGATTGTGGTCTCACGATAGAACTCTGTTGCCCACCTTCGCTCCTTCTTACCAAATTGAGTCCTGAGACGATCTTCTCGAGATCCGTCGACTTCGACAATAGGTTTCGGAGATCTTCGAGAGCATCGGGATTGTTGATCAGCTCCCCGACATTGTTGAGCTGCTCTTCGATGTCTTCGCTCTTCCTGAAGGGTTGCAGGAGTCTCCATTTGAGGGCGCGTCGACCGGCAGCCGTACACGTATAATTTATTACATCTGCGAATACATGAATCGTTCCTCGACCGCTTTCCAAGCGAAATAGCCCACACGTGTCGGGGAACTCGAATCGTGCTCCATCATTTGATTCCCTGATTTACAGAATCTCTATACAGCTCCATCCCGAAGATGCGTTGCGGGGATCATATCGATAGGTATTCTTATTGGTCATTCTCACCGAACAGGGTGTATTTGTTCGCGTCGCTGGGCGCCGAGCTCGAGCTTCGCACAAGCTCAAGCTCCCGGGCTGTGATTGTGTCGATGTGACAGATATCTTCCGGTGACGGTAAGAAACTGATCTGTAGTGATCGAGCGGCTGGTGCCAGAGCTGTTTGAACTTTCTCGAGGTACCTATAAGGCACAAGCCATGTCTCGGAGGGCAGTCAGCAGTGGCGGCACAGTGGCCGCCATCGGGGTTCAGACGATCTGTTGAAGGGGACTCAGCCCCTATGCACCTACTTGATGAGAGCATTAGCAGAGGCGAGCGCGTAGTACTTCTCTCGTAGCTCTACTTCGATGGCGGACATTTTGTTCGGGAACATGTTCGCCCGTCGGATAGCGTCGATGCCGAGCTTATCGTTGAAATGCTTCCTCTCAACCCCTATGAGTGAGCAAGGAGGATCGGAATTAGTTGACGATCAGAACTATGACGATATTAGGATCCACGTGAGGTCGGGCGCCTCACCATGAGGACTCAGCCCTGGAAAATACGCTTCCAGCTCCCGCACGAGTGGTGACGCGGGGTCCTTGTTGAGGACCGTGTTTGGGAGCACTATGTGCAGAGCGTCGAACTTCTAGATTGCTCAAAGAAGAAAGCAAAGTTTAGTCTCCTTCGTAGGTGACGAACAGTTCTCAAAGTCTCGCTGTGCCTGATCTGATTCTCGATCTGATCGAAGGCGAGGATTCCGATTCCATGAACGGCTCGAGGCGCCTTACAGCAAGAGCGACGCAAGTTGAAAAGTAGCTCGCTTGATCGATGAATTGAGCAAGGCTTATCCTGTTCCGATCCGGCTGGAGAACGGCGAGACCAACGGCTCTAGATGAGGTCCCTCTTCCTGAGCATAGGCACACGATCGTGCTTTCGCTTGAGAGAAAACTCGAGGCTGCGGACGAGGATCTCCTGGAAGTCGCTCCAAACCAGATTGATCATTATACCCGATGAGATCGATAGGTATTCCGAGTCCATAAATCTCCGATGGGATCGATGGGCATTCCGAGTCCTCAACGCATGGGTCTCGACCAAAGCAACAGGCTTGGACGCGGCTGGACTGCGATGCTTAGCACTTGCCTGCTGCTTACGGTGCTGCTCCTCCGGCTTGAGCCGGAAGGCAGGGTGGAACGCCGAGAACGCTTACTCGATGGAGTGCCTGAAGTGTCTTGAAAGATTGAATTCGAGCGTCTGAGATCCACTGATTGAGCAATTGCTCAAAATTTGGGGGCTCTTCATTCCAGAAAATAGAGGGGTTGTTTCTCCATCGCTGAATCCAGAAGCGAATTTCCTCACCTGATGTGGAGTGTTTACCCATATCGATAGTTTTCTCTTCGGCCAAAAATTCGTGAACCGGTCAGCTCAGATGGAAGCCTTCCCATCGACCCTCTTGGAGACCAGCACAGAGTCAACGGCGATATTCATGAACAGCTGTTCCAGAGACCGTGCGGCCCCAACCTCGTCCCCTCGGCACTATCCGAGAGTGCTCTGCGGTGACTTACTTGCGCCGTCCTGCCTGATTCAAGAATTCTCGCAGCGAGTGAGATACATACCCCAGGAGTCGGCTTTCCCCTTCTCTCTGATATTTAGAGCGCGAGGAGAGAAACGAGCGGCATGTGACATTCTGCACTAGCGACGTTCAAGTGATATCGATGATCAGCGCAGATGTCTCCGGGAAGTGCTTTTAGGATTTCGAGACGTCCCACAATATCTCGAGTTAAGCGGTGATTTACGGTTGTCGTTGAAAGCTCGGTTCGCGACGACAGCGCAACTCAGGCAGGGTGACTAGGCGGTGAATTGCTCCGGATCGCTGGAGTGAATCAGATCTCCCGCGATTTCCGATCTCTCTCCCGAGCCTGAGGTGAGAAGGATCATTCTTCCCCAGGGAACATACCTACGGGACGCTTTCGAGGAGCTCAGACCTGATGAAACAGTTTCTGGCCGACTCGCTCACCCGGAATCGAAGTTACTCACATAATTCCCTGATGCAAAGTTCTTTCGGGATCATCGCACCTGATGAGTGAGACGCTGCGAGCAACCAAATGTCGAGCGCTCCGTACGTCATGACTACCACCTTCCATCTCACGGATCGCAGCATCGATGATGCCTCAGTCGGCTAGCACGGACTCGTGCGCGCAGGTGGGATGCTTGACTGCTCAACTCGTTCTCGTGCACAAGTCGTATATTCGGCTGCCTCAATTTCTTCGTCGGATTATAATTACTCGTCATCAATCAGATTACGAGCTTCCCCTCAGTCAACTCTTTCGAAGCCGTGAGGATCAACGGGTTCGGGGAATGAGATGAGCGGAAAGCAGGCCAACAGGCCAGCGATGCTACTTTAACTGGCAGCAGAGTTGGAAATGGAGAGAATCGATGAAAAGAGAGGAATCTTGATCGGCCCTCGATGGCTACGGGAAATCGAGAGCTATTGCCGTAAGAGAATCCGCGACCTTACAGACGATTTATTCCATCGAGTTATGACGGTGTGACCTCCACGAGGATTGCGACATGCACCGCCTGGTAAAGGCTGGGACGTCTCCGAAATATCCTCAGCGCAAGGCGCTCTCGTGAGAATGGATTGACGTTTTCTGCTCGCAGAATTTCACCTCTCTCGAGGCGATTCCATCTCGCTCGGATCGAAGCCCGGGAATCTCTCTAGGATCTATGCAACTGGGGAGGGAATTCGCGATTTCCGCGGAATAGGAGATCAAGAGAATTTTTGGTTCCGAGTCGAGCAGGAAGTCGATACCGATCTTCAATCAGTCATGGTTTCCTTCTGGAGGGGGCTGATCTCCGCCGGCGGATACTGCGGAACGCTGCATCGGACTCCAGCGAGCGCCGCGCCGAATCCCGACAAGCCCTGATCCTCAAGACGATTCGAAACTCTCATGACGCCTCTCGGGAAACCTTATATGATTCCAGCATCGAGCGTTGTCGAGTAAGTTGAGCTCCCAATTTCTCTGGGGAACTTCCACTCCCCATAATTGACGCAGTCTGCCTCGCCTCGCTCCGAGAAGACCGATAGTCCCTTGGCTCCAGTGAGGGCTTGATCCTGGCAACTTCGCTACTTTCATAAAGTCCCAGGAACCACGTAGGCGTATGAGAAAAAACTCCGCGGGAGAGTTCAAATATCGAAACAAAGAAGCCCGCCTCCGTGCAACGTCCACGCAGAGTGTCTGGGCTCATCGATGAGGAATGATTGGGGCATCTCTATGGAGAGACGATATATTCTTCCATCGGAGTCTATTAGGCCATGTTCTGAAATGAATCCTTTAGTCGGGACCAGTCGTTGGGGGGCTGTGAGAGCGATCTCGAGAATGAATATCTAACTCGACTTTGCCGTCTAGAAAGCTCCCGGTCCTCCAAGTTCTGGACGTGATCGACTGTAGTCGAGTCGATGCAGCGCCGGAAGCGGGGCTCCCGCGACAGAAAGTGCTGAGGTTCGCAAGAGCTCAACTCCGCCATAAAATATGACCAGACCGCCGAACAGCGTTCCATGGCGATATATCGCGAGCTGGAATCACTTCCACTCACGAGCTGAGCAAGTCCCTGAGCGGCACCCTCAGCTATCGTGCGCGAATTCTGGTCCTTCTCTACTTCTCGTCTCCCGATCATTCTAATCCTCCTCCGCCCGGAGTCACGCGGCGACGTGCCCCGCAGGTGCCGTGCGCGAAAATTCACCAGAGAACGTCCAAGATGGACCGCGGGTGATTCGGCAGCGCTCTCTGCATCGCGTGGTCGAGGCTTCATGTTTTGCGGTCAGGGATGGGCGACAGCCCGGCATAGGAGATTGTTGGATAGCTCGCCGGGTCGAAACCTCGGGGCCAATTATCCTGGACAGCTTTGTCTGTATCTCGCTTCTGACACCTTGCCCGTTGGATGAATCCATGAGGCCAACGCGGATCACCCTTAAATTATTCGGCCTCGCTGCCGCCGTTGGTTGTCGTTACTCGCTCCGACAAATTTTGCCGTCAGCCATTCTCTCTCAATGCATCAAACCGTGCGAGCTCGGGCGATTGTTACGCGCAGTTTCGACCCACGTTCGAATCACCACCATAAAGGACAGCTTTGCCATTGCTTAAGGCTATTCGAATCCTATTGGCTGAATTAGTGTTATCCGAGCCTGTCGGCGCCGTTCTCATTCTATTCACTCGGTCTACGCCCATGAGAACTCCGTATCTGGCAGATCTCGACCGTCACGTAATACGCGAGCGGCTCATCATCGGGTCAATCTTGACTCTGAGCGAGACAGTCGCCCGGGCACGATGATTATTCAGCCTCCATCGCATGGTAATAGAATTTATTCGACGGATTCTTCGCTTATTCACGATTATACAATTTTCATCGACAATATTACATAGTAAACAATCAACAGTAACACAGTCGTCACGGAGCTCGATGATTTCTGGACGTTTCCTCCTGAAAGAGTGGAAATTTCCTCGCTTGTGATCGATCAGGATCAAGGTCACTCGGCTATTCGATAGTTTATTTTCGTTCTCCTGACTGGCGGGTGTGGTATCACATCGATGCTATACAAACCTCCCGAAGAGACTAGCGTGGTGTGAAGAATTTCCTGAGCTTCTATGTCGTTTGAATTCTGAGTTTTTTGGCGGAACACACGGTCATCGAAGAGCTCGAAGCCGTCTCGGAGAGTGGCGACGCATCGTACCCGTATCCGATAGCCTTTGCCTTTGCGGAAATGTTTCCGCTCGTCAACTCGCATGAGGAGCTGCAGTCGACTCTGCTGCAGTCCCTCCTCGTCTTGCTCTACCGGATACCTAACCACGTCGAGTTGTGGGTTCACCTGTGAATTGAAATTCCCCTCGTAAGCCTTACACCGACTCTCCATGTCTCGGTGTGGTATTCCGCACGATATCTGAGATCTTTCGTAAGTCGTTCCCGCTTCCCCTCGTTCTGTAGCCTCGCTACCCTCTCAGCTTTGCCGGTCAGGATTGGCGGTCGGAAGACTCAATTTGAAATTAGGCGTCGGCCTCGGGGAAGCTCGGAGCGACGTGAAAGTCGTTTTTGGCCGGAGTGATTCGTTTCTCAGAAGGCCACACCAGAAGCCGGAGTCTTGGACTCGAGCCCGATGACCTTTATTGTTCCCTGCACATTCCGGGAGCGTTGAGCTCTTCCCGCGATTGGAGTCGTTCTCGAAGCGTAAAACACGCTCAAGGCTCAATAAACTCCATCGGAGAAGATGGCACCGTTGTCTAATAACGCTGACGTTCGTAGTTTATACGTCACGTTCGAAAAGGTTGGATGAGTATTTTTTCGGAGCCAAGCCACACATAAGCACGTCTTTCATCAGCAGCGTCATTGTGCTCTATCCTGCTGGAGCGATTCTCCGTCAGGGCGAGGCTGTGCGCCGAAGCGGGAATTTCTCGCGGAAGATCACCCCGCGTTTTCGATACTCCGACATCAGTTCTCTTTAGCTTGGATAGCCGATGTCTATCCCGTGTCAATGAGCGGCTTAAGGCGCCGAGCTCTCGGATCAGCGAGACTTCCGGCTCAAATGAGGGGCTGGATCATGATCTCAGCGGTCCGGGGAACATGTGGGTCTCATACGACAATTCGAGTCGGTGGCGTCGATTCGAATGGATGAGTCGCCTCCGCTGCGAAATTACGACCTCGATCTGCCAAGATGGGATGACTTCCACACCGCTCCATGTGCGGCTTGGATTTGCCAGGATTTGAGACCTGCAGCTGCGGAATAGCACGAGCCTCGGCAAGAAACTTCAGCAGGTAGCGAACGGAATCTTACGACATTTCTCAAATCATTCGTTTTTCCTGTCTGGAGAGGAGCGTTGTAGAATCAACGTCGGTCAAAGTACGGAGTGTCTTGTCGAGATGTCGACATCGAATGCTTAGTTGGGAACTTTGCGTAGGGCAAGTGTATGGCTCCCGCTTGATTTGATACCTTATCTACTTGCCAACAACCCGTGGTGTGTCGGAGACCAGCATCATGGAATATCGAAAAAGGTACGGTGGATTTATCCTTCCCCCAGAGAGTTATCGATTCTTTATTTTTTTCCTAAGCGAGCCAGTGCCATCAAGAAACAATTTGGCCGATCGCCGGATATGAACAGGACTCGGGAGGTTAATTCCCTCTGCGATGACGGATCTAGATCCGGTCGGCTGGGAATCAATGCTTATCCAGGCGAGCCTCGAGTTCAACAACCACGTCTCGCGGCCCTGGTCAACCTTGCGTTTACGACGTGACTGTGGATTGGGCTGCGGCGTGCCCGAGAAAAAGCGATATAGGGCCAAACACCACGTTGACGTCCTCGACGACTCGGCGATCACTTTCGACTGATCCTGCGCGCCGTGGTGACTAAACAGACCACCGTCCTCATGCGAAGCAGTCGCGACGAAATCATGGTGTATCTCCGCTTATCGGGAACTTCTCCTCTTTTGGAATAATTGTATTGAACGAGGTGGGTTTCTTCCAGAGACCGTAATGCCCATCCCAGAGGAAGAGCCACAGTCTGGGTTTTGCCTCCCGCCCTCTCGAAAACAGCATCAATCAGAGTTATTCTCTGCGCTGAAAGCTAATCTCATTCAATTAATGGGGGAACGCCAGATATCCGGAAGTATCCCGAATCTCTAAATCGGCTCATGATACTCCATTCAGGGCAATAAAACCAGGGCAATGAGATTCCGCTCGTATCGCTCCACTTCTAAAACGTTATCAGAATATGGGGGGCTGACTGAGCTGCCGTAGTAAGCGATCACGGCTCACTAAGCGACCTGTCGGAAGCCGCTGGACCGATAGAGGAAATAAAGCAGTCGGCAACATTCCCATGATTTATGGGAGCAACTCCGAATATTATGTGGCATCAGTGATGATGATAGATTAAATAACGACCTCGGTTTCGATTCTCCTCTGTATGAATCGTAGGGTTCGAGAGCCGATTGCGGACGTCGATCGCTGTGATGATTCATATTCGATCCCATTCCATAGTGGGATCAGCACTCAGCTCATCTGCCCTCCCGATCAGATCAACAACGAACAAGGTGTGACCTCGTCTCTTTCAGAGTTTTTGAGCTTCGTATCACTGGCTCACGACAAGCGGATGGAAGACGCATTATCTAATTTCTGTTTATCCTCCGCACCAGTTCTTCGCCGCCCATGACGTGTAGGCATCTTTATCTTGGCAGGTTCCTTATTGGCTGGAAAGGGAACAAATGATGCCGATCATCCGGATCCATTTGTGAACAAAGCACGGCCTGTGCAATGAGCGTCAACGATGATGATGAAGACGGTATTGTTGGCACCCGTAGAACAGATTACGCCCTACGGTGCTAATGTTTCTCCCTTCCAGACGAAAGACCTATCGCCCCAGCGCGGGAAAAACGGCGAGTAGGGGGATATCACCGCAGCGCGAACAATTCTATTGGATTCGTGCTTTTTCTCGTCCAGGAAAGGCACTCTCGGAGACTTTGTGAGATCGGCTATAATATGTGGTGATGGATATTCGAAGCCAACTTACGGCTTTCCCGTTGATAAACCATTGAAGTTGAGCGGCGGGAGTCGATTTCCCCGAAATGCACATCATGTCCAAGTAGGCGCCCCCTTTACCTTCTCGGATCCCTCCGGTAATCGACGGTCCGTCCCTGGGCGGAACTGCGAGAGGAATCGAGTTCGAATCGGTATGGATTTAATAAAAAGCCAAATGGAGGGAGAGGAACGAGTACACGAGTGAAGGTCGTGTAACAAGCTGATGCGCAATCTCCGAGCGCGAAATGCTCATCGTCAAACGCTCGGTGTTGGATTCCTGAACGTGTCGATTGACTAGTTCCTGATCGCTGTTTGGCGGAGCTCCTTCGCCAAAGTAAATGTCACGGAGCCTATCCACGTACCGACTACGACCATGACCTCCTCCGATGACATTTGAGTCGCGAACGGCAGCGCCGTATTCACTTCGACGCGGTAGCGACCCGTCGACTCTAAAGCTATATTACGCAGCATCACCTCACAGAAACCGTCCCTCAAATTCGTCTTGAATTTCTGCAAGGAAAGAGAACGAACCTCGATAGGGGATATATTCGATTCTACATGCTCAAGGATGAATGCGATATACAGACAGATTGATCAGAGCTCTCTCCCTCGAAATTCATCGATTTTCAGAAGGCACGGAAAAATCCCTCGAGGAGCGTTTCTAACCGAAGGGCCAAGGTCAAAAGCCTTCGGGTTTTCCAACCATGGACCCATCGATTCAGATGAGACTCGTCGTATTCTTATTCAAAGAGTCGAATACTCCCCCGAAACTCGTCGCCGTCAGACGGAATCATTCCCCGGACGCGTGAGGGAAGTCCTTTCCGGGAAGTCTACGGTCGAACCGATTCGAAAACTTGTCTTTTGCGTGATCCCTTCTTTCCCGACGGCATGTTGAATCACTTACGTCGATGTAGACTCCTTCACGATCTGTGTAAATGTCGGTGAAGCCGCCATCAGACCTAACGATCAAACGGCAGAACTCCTCGTCGTTGCGATACCAAATTATGGATTGAAGTGACTCAGCGGCGTTGTTGAGGGCGAATCGTGCCTCTAGCGTAACCGTGCTGCCCCGGGCTACTGTGAACGGCACGTTCAACGAGAGGTGGCTGAGGGCGCTGATCTCTGTAATGGATGAACGATTCGTCCGGTGAATGAGTGCCTTGCCACGAAAACCGCGGACATGCGAACGAATTAGACGATTGTCGAAGGTGCGTAAATGGATCAAATGATTGAGGGATCCGACTTGGTCGAAACGGATATCCGCCAACTAGGGAGCACGTCGAAACGAGGGAGCTACGGCGAACAGCAATTATTGTACCAAAAGGTCGAGTGTATATCTCATTCCAAAGCCGAAAAGACACTACAGTGCATTGGCGGCGCGTGGAGGCTATAATTCAAGCTGTCAGCACAAAACAGCTAAATTATCCACTCTATTTCGAGCTGCTGAACCGTGGCAGTCCATCTGGGCATCCATTTATTGTTTAAACATTCACATCCGGGATGAAATATGAATGTAACGGGCGATGGTACTTCAGCTCCCGTGTTCCATCACTGATAATGTTGGATCGCAGTCGACGAGATCGGGGAATGAGACTCCGGCGAGGGATCTCCGTCGATCCGGGATGCATCTATCGGCGTGTTTTGGAACTCCGGATTCAATCAGAGGAAGGGAAATCTTTAGGGACGCTAAGCAGACAGAAGATATGAGATGATGAGCGAGAGTCTTAGCAAGAGAAACGGCCGGAGAGATCGCTTAATTCAGAGATCAGCTTGAGAAGCTGAAAAAAAACAGGGGGCAAAGAATCTGGATGGGACGAATAAAATAATACCGGGTCAAAATAATCCCTGCGAGCAACGAAGGAGAAGAATGAATGATACCCGTGAAGACCATGGGGAATTCAGAGGGAATGCCAGCGAGGAACCTGGCGAGTATTTAAGAGCAAGATGAGGCAGCTCCTTGAAATATATATAGCATGAAATGAGATTGAAATATAGCATGAAATGCAGAAGCTCCATATTTCGCTTCCGCCGGGGGAGGATCTCGACGGCACGGTAGGAAGAACAATATACCCCTAGATTTGACCGTGCCTGACACAGAACAGAACTCCCGCAACAGCATCTATCTGCTCAGAGTCACGTCAACAGATACCTCCAGAGCGCATTACAGAGCTCTGGCGAACAACTGCATCCAGCCGTCGGATCGAGCCGGCGGATGACCCGTCCGTGGAGGATTTCAATAATCAGCTTGTGAGCAGCCATGATACCAGCGAGGAGAATCCCCAGCAAAAACGATTTAAAAGGCGCCCGGAAGGCTTGTGTCTCTCGGGAGGCTCTCATGAGCTCCACAACCTAACATTGAGTCTGTCTACAGTCATTTGCGTCGAAAAGGTCTGAAAGTTCAAGAGATAAGCCTCCTCTGACTTGCAGCTCTCGACCCGAAGGAACAGGTTGAGTGGATCCGATAGCTTCCCCGGGAAGGTCGCCTCCTACAGAAGAAAAAGCCCCCCGTGCAAAGATATTCCGAGGTCATGCGGACTCCATTCCGAGATATGCGTTGCGATTTGCGATTTTAGTCGATCGTTTACGTCTAATGAGCTTTTGCTGGCTCCCGAAACTGACTCTACGCCTCCGTCCAGACTCACCCGTCAGGATCTGTGAAAACAGTACTACACGTTCCAAGGAGATGCGACTCATCTGTACAATTCACTTCACACCCGGGCCGGGCCGACCCGAGTCAACCTGCAAGGAGATTTTAATTGAAGGTGAAGTTCGCCACGGTCAATGCATATCGACCGAACTCATTCCCGAATTTTTCAATGTCTTCCAGCAGGATCACTCCGACTGATCTCCCCCGGTTGAATCCTGCTGGTCCTTGCGTTAGGAAATCGACGCTGGTTAGGTATTCAGTGCGGTGTTGCTCCCGGCAGCGGGACTGCATGGGAAGGCGAGCCCCCCGACGATCGAGGTATTTTAGCCGCGGGCCCGGGCCGCTCACGGAACCGAACTCGCGGTCTTGAGCTCTGGCTCGCGATTTGATTACGAGAGATGGTGTCGGGGTGAGATGAATCGATCCGCCTACCTTTCACTTGGAGTTACTCTACGGGCGGATGCAGGGAACGAGGCGGGGCAGCGCGGGAGAAGTTGCGTTGGAACAAACCAAATTTCGTGTTCTCTGGCGAGAATGTAGAGGCAAGGGAGTGTTGCGTCAGGAGTCACAACAAGGGAATGCCTCAGCCTGGGACTGTTCTAGATCCCGCTGGAGATACCCATCGTCGGCGTCTCCGTCGCTCAGCATAATTATTAACTATGGATCAGTAACTTGGTGGTCACAGAAAGAGATTACCTCGCAAGGAAGGCATTCGGGTCTTTATCATCGGAGCCTGACTCGGCTCTGTTCGAGTCGCTACGCACTGCTTGCACTCTTCTAAACGACGTGGGCTCCCCAGAGGCGCTCCCAGGACAATCCTAGGAAAAGAGCGAGCTGCAGGTCACTCTTCCAGGGCCCGGTCTTGCGGGTCAGCGCGTCAAAGAACTCCATGAGTCTTCGGAACCCCGACCAGGGAGAGGATCGTGAGAGAAGAAAACAGTCAGCAGTCGGTCCATCCTCGTTTTGGTTCCTGTTTCTAATTCTCGGTTCTGCTTGGGAAACTCAGCCCTCTGGGAATTTTCGAAGAGAAGCCGACGAAGCTCATCGCATCGATTTGTTGGAAGGGAAAAGAGTTTTTCGATAACGAATGAACGAGGTCTGGATGATACTCATTCGAGCAAGGCGATATCAGGCTCTCTCGACGAGATATGTTGAAACTGCTGTCTCTCGTGAGATACAGTTTTCCGACACAGACAGGTTCGCACTTGGATGGACGGACGATGTCATGGAAACGACCCCCTCCGAGAGGCTACGGGACCGAATGGCAAACCCGGAGCAGCTGATTACTGGGCTCTGAGCAGCAATTGTCGGCAGACGAGACTCGTCCACAGCGCTCCGCAAAGGACCTCTCAACGGAAACTCCCGGTTTGCAGGACCCGAGCCTTTCGAGCGGGATTTCATCTCCTCAAATCGGTCTGGACCTGCGCAGCGAGACGGCTTCGATGGGAAGTCTACGATGAAATTGATTCCACACAAAGAATATTTTCGTGCTCAAGGGTCACGTCTCTTCCAAAAGAAGCTCCACGGACGAAATCCACGCGGGATTCAACTTGTGTCGGCTCCTCATTCGGGGAATTCAATTAGACCGCCCGTGACCCGGCGTTTTCTTCTAATCACAGTCGCGTTCGGCAATCTACCTCTAGCTGGAGACCTTTCACAGGTCCACCACGTGCGTAATGATGGCCTCCAAGGTTCTTCCTTGCGTAAGGGAGAACGCCGCCGGCTGGTACCGTCATATCGGTCCCATCGTTGGTGCCTCGAGGACCGAATTGCGAGCTACGGAGCGACCGCACTCGACATCGACGAGACGGATTCTGAGCCCCGTGTGCGGAAGGGAAGAAGCATACGGATCCCAAGTCGACGGCGAGTCGGAATTCGGAGTGATTTTCACCGGCTCTGTGTCTCCGTATCATCTAACTTCCGCCACCTCACACAACAGGCAGTAGTACATGGGTGGGGTTTGAACGCTTAGTGATTTATATTCTGAACTACACTGGTCTCGAGCAGCCTTTTCCAGTCAGAGATCACGCATGCTCACCGATGCGGCTCCTCCCCGTCGATTTTTGCACACTCCAGGGCCACCGCCTCCATTTTACTCTGGCGGCTCAGAATCATTAGCGTTTTTCGGGGTCTCTCGAGTTCACTCTTTTGAACTCTTTCACTCAGCCACTCGGCGCCGGGGCCATCCGAGAGTGGGAACATAGGAAATATCACGCGGCCAGTCTCGCGGCTCGTTCCCAACGGAGGGAGCATCATTCTCAGAATATATTCTCTTGGGTCGCATAATGAGCGAGGAGGACTCCGAATTTTGTTCCCGCGACCACACAAAATTCTATCAGATAGACTCACCTATACGTCTGACGACCGATACGGGAAATGTGTAGACATGGTCGTGCTCCTCAAACAGGCGATGCCTGAAAACAAAAACAAAATGTTAAGTCGTAGATCTAGTAGATGGTTCTAAGAGAATTATCCATGCCGATTCTTGGGACGGCAGATTTACTCAGAATGGGAGAACATCACTTCTTGAGACTCGAATTATGTGAGAAGTAGATACAACCGATATCGGAATTCGATACGGCGTTTCAGTGGCAACATGACATGAGACCGATTCTGTCAATTTCTCAACTTTCGTGAGATCCCTGCTCGATCGAGAAGTGTGCACAAAGTCAGAATGAAATTTCAATGCTGGAACTGAAGGCTCGTGTCAGCTTACACCGGTGCCAGCCGGGTCGCAACTCAGATTTCGCTCATCTCCCGAGTGAATCAGTTCTCCGCTTTGCACTCGCAAGTTTTCTAATGAAGTCACTTGCAAGCTGTGATGCACGGAGTCATAATGAACACATGCGCGGACTTTCTCATGATTTCAGCCTTGCAATATACGCCCTGGAGTACCCAGACCTCGCGACATCTCACGGAACGGTTCCAAGGAACGCTTCCTAGGGATAAATCAAGAAACCCGCGCCAGCGTCTGAAGCTTGTAAGTACGTAGCCGGTGTTCATTGTCGTGGTCTCTGTCCCTCGGGGGCGAATGACACGGGTGGCACGCGACGTCTGGATCTCTCACGATCTTTACATCTCAATTTGTATCAGGGCGTGTCGTGGGTCTTGTCACCGATTTTTGTTAATTCGCTGACCACGACCACGTACAGTAGGGTGTCCCTGCTGCTGAAAGTGGAGATGCGGCGCTAAAGCTCGATAACAACGCGTCCGAAAGTGGCCGCTCGCACAGATGTGTCATTAGTAGGGCTGAAGATTTTTCGTGGAAAATTCCCGCCAAATTCGCGGCCTCCATTGAAACTCCATGAGGAGAAGCCGGAAATTTCCGCGAGAATTCGCGGAATGGCGCTCCACGAGAAATCGTCAACCCTAGTCATAAGTCATAAGGTAATGAAGAACCGAGACAATCGCGTCGACCACGACGCCAGTGTAGAGCCAGCTTGGGTGGGGGCGATCGTCGAGCTCCTGCGGGTGTTGACTGTTCATTCCTACCACGTGGAAGAAGTCCTCGGATCCGCCCATCTCGCAGCATCGACCCCATCAGTTCGCCATTCAATGAGAGCACCCTGGATTCGTCGCTGAGCAGCAGTGCTCACATCGAGATCAGATTTGGAAAACAGCGAGGAGCATGACATCCCGATGATTCCGACGTTTCCGATTGGTGGCTCTCAAAGCGATCTCGGATATCAGAGCTAGCGTAGTATATTCAGATCGGTCGATTCATGGAGAACAAAGTCGAGTCGTTAATTTAATGCGATGTCACCGTTCGAGCACGACTTGTGAATAGAAAAGAGACCGATTGATAGCGCAGATCCGTCTCTGCGAGCCTGCACTCTCATATAATAATCGGTTATAACGGATGCCGACCTACCGGCAGGTCGATGCAGGCACGGGGCGCTCATTTCTACTTCAGAACGGAGCGTACGTGAAATCGTCACGCTCGTCCCTCAAACTTCGTTTCAGAATCCGCACTTAGCGGGATGGTTGCACGTGCGATTGTTTCCGCCAGGCTACAGCCCAGGTTGGTGATTCTAGCGTGAGTGAAATCCCGCGAAACCTTGCGGACATCCTCGGCGGCCATGTGCGACGATGTCGGCTTATTGTGCCTTCGCCTTGCGGGAGATTGATAACTCTCAAGGAAGCCATCGGTCTTGTCTCGGCGGGGAATCACCATGGAAAACCTTTTGCTCCTGAATTCCCAAGGGTTTTGGGGTAAATCGAGGAAGTCAGTCAAAGGAGGAAAGGCTCGTATTCCGTGGGCCGGGCTGTGGCCTACGCTATGCAAGAGCGAGAACATTCTTCGCTCGCTCGTCGAAGACTAGGGGAAGCGCGGGTAGGATGTAAGGCGTTTGCAGCGAAGCGATTGGAAAGGGACTGAAGAGTTCACATCTACCGATTTTCGGTACCTTGACGGAATTAACATCGATATGGGATTGTTCACCGATCCGCTCCAGCAGTCGACGTTCGATGGACCTCAATGTGAGCTTCATGGGTTCCGGGGCGCTCTCATTTACATCCGAAAGTTCGATGATACGAGCACTTGACTCACGATGTATGTTCAGGGACGAATTTCTGAACATCGTTCTTACTCGATTGTCGTCGCGGCGTTCGATAATAATCCTATCATTATTATTGGCCGAATCTTGATCGGCTTCGCTCGGAATGCGCCGCGTCAAGCGCTGAACTCGCTATGAACGTATGAGTTATTGTCCGAAAAAGTTAAGGTTCCCCGTTTCCGCTCCATCGATAGAGGATGTCGCGGCTCATTCTCGATACTCATGTCGACGGATCATAAGGGTGAATAAGAACCCGTCTTGAGTCTTGATCCTAGACCGATGCCGCTATTTCGAGACATGATCCTCTCGAAAAAACACGCTGTTTGTTCAATGAACTGGTCGCCATCAAATGTCGATGCTCGATGTCGCTCGGAATTGATCCTCCCTGACTAGAGACAGGGTAGCTAGCCGAGTCGAGCAATGGTATGCAAGTTGCACGGTGCAAGATACCGTGTGCTGCCGATGATCTGACCTTTCCTCAATCCAGATCG